CGAATACCGTTATTATTATGTATCTATTTGTTTACATTATTTATGGTGCGTAGACACCGAAGCCTAACTGTCAAAGTACCAGTAGGTCGTTTTGTGTCACATGAGCATTATGCAAATAATACATATTAACATTTTGTGATATTTTTTTAACTGTCTTTGTCTGTTAAATATACATTAGTTCACGATAATTCGATGTTGTATTATTTACATTGGACAACTATATGTTCATGACATTAAATCTAAAATCAACATGTTTTCCTGTACCGTAATTGCTACTACACACGTACAGTAACTACCAACAAAGACATTTAAGAGATAATAAACCTACTATAAACCTAAAATTATACAAACAATACCGTACTGAACACATTTGACGCGTGAGCAAAAGCAACTTAGATTATCGACTTGTTAATGCATTCAAAAATTGATTTCATGATTTTGTTCAAAGAAAATTTAAAGGCAGCATTCGGAGACTTAACTTTGATGTTATTTATTCAACACGAGCTTTCGATGGCAGTCAATGACAGCTTCATCAGTTGTGATTTTGTTCGTGCATTAATCTAAACTTCGTGGTTGCGGCGCACTTTTTAATAATCGTCGAACGAATTGCGACCAGTTGTGTATCTGGGGTGGGGGTGCGTGGAAGCGCACGCCAATCCAAAAAATACTCACTCCCCCTCCAGAGGCACCTCCAAAAATCACGGTCAAGTAGTTAAAAATCACCTAAAATCACCTTATTTTGCGCCTCTCAATCAACTGATCATCGAGCACACCCCACTTCACCTTCGCGCCACCCATCAGCACCCTCATTTCAAGATTTTAGATACGCCATTGAGTGGGACGCAATATTCGTGCATTAATTTCTATCTTGCATACAACATAAAAATTGCTTTTTTTAATTTTTTATTTAGGAATAGGTTTAATAACTTATTCTTCCATGCTCTACTAGGCCTATTACAAAATACAGACATTTTTAATAAATGGATTTTATTCAGTTGTATGGCAAAATACTGGAGTACTTCAAGGAAGCACTTTGATAAAGTGTCATCTACATCGGTGGTGCAAAAGACGTACGGTACTGTACGACAGTCGTTTTAACTACATTACTGTATGTGTGCGGTAGGATTTTGTTTTAGATAAAATATATTGTTAGATTTTACCGGGTTAAAGGTAAACTATCGTATGTCTAACCCTTTTCCTTGCCTGCTGACGATACTGTAAATGCTGGTAGGTAGATACTGGTAGGTCTAGACCTGCACCATGGTATATGCATCACGTTCTATTTCTTCTCTACGGGTTGTTACACCTGTATGTTACACCTTTTAATTGTATATGTATTTCGAAAAATCTATATTTAATGGCTTAATTTTTTTATCTTGTACAGTTTAAAAATGTCGAAGCCTCGTAGAAGAACACCGTTTTCTTTTCTTTTTTAGATGAACGAGTTTTAAATGTATATTTCAAATGTATATTTTATTGAATAAATAAAGCTTTTGATTGATTGATCAATAAACGTAAATGTAGCCCACTCGTGTACCTTTACAGTCGATGACACGAGTGCAAAGAACCCTGTGGATTCCAGGATGTGGTGGCGTGTCTGGTTGCATACTGTGAATAGTCTGGGTTAGAATCTACTGTTACACTGTATGCCTATAACATGCATGGTACTATACATTGTAAACCACTGTACTATATTCAACGATAGTGCTCGGTGATTAATTGAAAAAACAAAGATTGGAAATACGTAAACATATCTGATGTGTTTATAATCCCTGTTTCAAGATAATCTTGTCTAGGTTTCTATCCCACACATCGTCCTCGCCAATTACTCACAATGAAGAAAAGTACAATTTAGGCGTCGCCATGAGCAAAATAATTGTAAGCCTACTATGATAGATTCTTGGAGTTGAAATTGGAGAAATTAGGCATCACTGGAATAATATATATAAAAAAAAATCTCTGTCAAAGGTTTTTATATGTTGTTCCAATGATTATTATAATAGTAATAATTGTTATTGATATAATTATAATAGTAATATTTGTTATTGATATAATAGTAATAATTGTTAATATTATTATTATTATTATTATTATTATTATTATTTTATCATGTAATAATTAGATTTATATCAATAATTTTCATTGATATTATTATATATTTTATTACATTTCTTATTAATGGTATTTGTTGTATATATAATTCAACTTTTAAAATCTTATTTTTTATTGCATTTATAGTCCATGTACTTTCTGAGTTGTCATTGATGTTTTTTATTGTATGTGTTGCTGGGCCCTGGAGGATAACAATGGTTTTATCCACTGCAGGTCACCTAGGGTACAGAAGGAATAAGTTTAAAAAATAATTTAAAAAAAAATACGATACCAAAGGTTCACTCATTAGTGATAACTAATAATACTAAAATTTAAATTCTTATGGGGCATTAATAAGAGAAACAAAATGAGACACATCACATAAAACAGCAGACGAGTTACTGGTAAAATCTCGAAGATGTTAGGCTAGAAACTATACAGAGATTTAATGGACAAAAAAGCACAACATAACACTAGAATGTATTAATATAAACATAATGGTGGTTGATGTCGGACAAACTATTGCCAGCAAATTAGGCCTTTGAAATCTTCTTTAGAAGAGAAGCGACATAAAATTCAGAGGACAACAAGGACAGGGTTTTCCATTACGAAGAAGACAAATACTCAAGCTAACGGCACGAAGAAAAGAGATTTACAAATACCTCTAGATTAACAATACATTAGTTCAATTGAAAATCGAATTTCATATTGGAACGAAAACACAACATTAATATGAAGGTATCTTTACCGTTTACCGTTTCATTAGAAGATACTTTTAAGATTAATGGAGTGCCTAATTAATACAGATGGCCTAGATTTTATCGCACCAATCTTGACAATTGTCGGGAAGTCATCCTACAGAAACTTGTCCACAGGCTACTACTATATTGACGGTCACTTAACCTAGTCTTAGAATCAAACCGGTACTTAAATTGTGTTAAGACAGAGCTTCATAGACAGTTTTTAGTTCGTGAAAGACATAAATTTTTTTTCAAACGGTAAAAAAATAAAAAATTTAATTAAAATATTTTAATATGTAATTTACAAGGATTAAATAAATCATTAAATAACGAGGAAATACAATTTTTACTGCGAATATTTTTTTTAGAACTATATGCAAACAAATAAAGGATATGTATTTGATATTGATATGCTTCCTTTAGTGGGCGACGAATATATCTTTCTCGTTTCAATAAAATACTATATAAAATAAATTACGTAGAGAAAATAAGCAATTCAATTGCTAATTGAAAGTACAGTATAACACAGTGTATTCCATATCAATCAATTTACGATACGATAGTACGATACACCTTTATTGTCATTTCACCAACATGGTAAAAATTAAATTTGTGTTAATTGATCGGATAGGCAAAAACAATAAACGTTCAATTCAGAAAAATATTAATGTATGAATAAATAGATAATAAATAGATAATAAATAAATACATATTATAATTGAATACATTCCTTAAGAGAATAATATGGTGGGTGGGGTCTCAGAATCAAGAAGAGACCACCATGACCCACTAAAAAGAAAAGGGGACGGCGCTGCTATCTGCTAAACAAGTAACTAACACCAAAAGGTGAAAACAATCTGGGAGTCACAGAGACAGAAAACAGCTGACTGTCAGCTGGTGGATCACGACGAGTCTCCCAATCACCCGGCAAGGTCCCCACCCACCGATACTATGGCGTAGCAACAATTCTATTGTGAATGATCTTTATTATGTTCATACTACACTACTTTTGCTTTATGTACTGTAATTTGACCCGGTAGTTTCTATAAACAATCATACTAGAGACAAAGACGGTACAGTAATGTGGTGGCATATCGGAAATAAGCTTTGTTGAGGTCAACAGCGAGTTGAACGATGTAAAGTTAAAGGGAAAATTATAGGCCTACACGAAAGATTCATAAGATATACATGCATAAAAATAAGAGCTGAGCAGCATTTAAATTGCTGCTAACATTCAGTTTGATGTTCAAAATGTTTTTTTTACACTATTATGAGTTTGTAACGTTGCTAATACGGTGGTGCAACGTTGTGTTTACGTCTTTTTTGACATATTTTGTGTTTGCTGGGATGTTGTTGCCTTGTAAACTGTAGATTATTTTTGTATGTCCTATTTCTGTGTTTATATGCCAGTTGTCTGCCTTTGTTCGTCGTCATTGATAAAGGTGGCTTTGTATGCACTACTTCAAACAAGAGCCGTCTATTGATGAGAGGGTTCAATGTTAAAATATTAACACAATAATAATCATAATACCACATGTTATTGAAATACCGCATATTATAAGAAATAAGTCTAAATATACCAACAGTTTTACACTTACCTTCTTCAAAAATGGCGACGTAAGGTGAACGTCTCAAAGTATGCGCTCCCTTGGCGTCCTATTACAACTGTGTCCTCATCAAGAATGCCAAGTTCAATAAAACCAAACACGAATTCATAAATTATACCATCAGCTTACTGTCAGCTAACCCTAATACAGTTATTTTCCTCTAGTACAAGATATCTGTCGTAACTCTGGTTCTAAGCATAATTCCGATAATACGTTTTTTGTTGATGTAGTATATTTTAGAAATATAACATTATTTTATGAAAAAACAATTTTAAGAACTTACAACACAATACGTAATCTCTGAGTATTGAGTTACTAATCGATGGTTTCACTCTCAAACCATAGAACAACCGACTTGCAGTATGTACGGAGTTTATAACCTTCGTGGGCAGTTCGTTCCGCTTGATTAGGTTTGCTGACAAAAGTCTGGAAGTGTTGCAACCAATGAAATCACAGGTAACAGTCAGGTGCCATTTCAGGACAAACCGGAAATTACGGCGGGCTTTTTGCAATAATAAATTTAAAATTTGAATTAATAGATAAGGAAATCTATTTTCTAATTATGAAAAATTCTTAAAATAGTATTACGCATTTGCATTTACCGGTAGGATAATCCACAGATTTATCATTAAACGTTTACAATTTTATATACTATACGACTATAGCATTTCAGGAAGATTTTTCTCTTTATATCGTACACTAAAACGTGTCTCTACGAATATCTTGTATATATAAGTAGGCCTATACATATGTCTATATATGTGTATATATATATGTATATATAAATGTATATATATATGTATATATAAAT